CCCAGGGATCCCGCGGGGGGCGCGCCCGGCGGGATGCGCCAGCGCTTGGCCAGGAATGATGGCTGCCACTTAGGAAGCCCGCGCTCGGGGCCAGGATTTTGACAGTAAAGGTCTGTGACCCTTAAAAGGAACCTCACAAGGTTTTGCTGTGCCCTTTTTATAGACAGAGAAACCGAGTCAGCTCAGGGAGGGCCAGTGACTTGCTCCAAGACTCGTAGGCGGATCCGAAGTTTCTGACCGATTCTCCGCGACCTGGACGGGAAGGACGGGGCTCTCAGCCGCCCTCGCCTGATGGTGGCTCGTTCCACAGCTTCAGGGATTTCTCAGCTCCTCGTTCTACCCTCTGTAAGACGGGGCGGGCAGACGCTAATCCAAAGCCTTCCGCAGCGCGTGGCGCGTGGCAGGTGCCCAGCAGGAGCACCCACGGCTCCTTATCTGCTCGCCGCCGCCTCGCCGCGGGCGGGGAGGGAGGAAACGGGAGATAAGGGCAGCGGCAACGAGTGGAGGCCGGTCCTCCGCGCTGCCCTTGACCTGCAAGCACCTCCCCACGCAGCTTGGGGCCCAGTCCCACCGGTGGCTTCTGGCTTCTTGACTCCTCCTGGGCACGCACTTTTAGAGAACTGTTACCCTCCACCTGGTGGCGTTTCCTGTCCACCTTCGGACCCTGTCCCAAGGACCTATCTTCCACCCATACCCTGGGTGTACCTTCCTAGCTGAACTTGCCCTTGTGACGTGGGCATCTATCACATCCAGCTTCCTAGCTTGAGAACAAGGCCAGTTACCTAACTGTATTAGGAAAATGATCAAACATACCATAAAAGCAGAAGAAACGCTATAATGAACCCCCAGGTACCCGCCTTCCAGCTGTGACAGTTACCAAAGTTCTGCCATTCTTGTTTTAGCTTCCCCACCCCCAACATACTGGCATGTACTGAAGAGAACTGTTTATTTATTGTTCAGCCTGGGCCGAGGCGGAACCTCGCACATGGTAGGCACTCACAAAAAGTGTGTTCGCTGGTGTGGGATGAAAGAGAGGTGGATGGATGGGTGGGGGGCAGGTGTGTGAATGGATAGATCACTAGTGGGACTTTGGGGATACCTTGTGCTGATAGCCTAGTCTGATGGGAGATGTAACCTAAATTCTTCCCTTGTATATCTAGGCAACAACCTCTACGTGGCCTCCACAAAGGAGAAACTATAAAATCACTCAAAATCTCAGCTAACCATAAAGACTTTATTTTAAAATCACAGCTGTCGATAATGTGTCTCTAGGGTTTGGGGGGAAAGAGAGAGGGATAGTTTTTCCCCTGTTGGTCTCCCTTCTTAACTTTCTTAACTCCTTCCCTTGTTTTGAGGCAGTCTGGTATGAATTCTTTGGCCCTCCTCTCAACATTGAAGAGAGAGAGCTTTAATACACCCAAATATAATTTAATTCCTCATAAATCATTTTTTCACTACATGGACTTCCTGTGGGCATTTTGCTCCCTCACCCAGGCATTTGTGCTTGTGCCAGTCCACCCCCACTTACCAATCCAACTATTTCTCCTTAAACCCTGGCCTCGGTTAGCTCACTACTATTCCCAAATAAGGAATTCCCAGGCTTCATTTTCAGATAGCCACCTGAGGACAGTCCTTGGAGTCTGGACTATATGAAGCCCACCCCAAACTCATTTTTAAAATATGTTTTCATTGATTTGAGAGAGAGAAACATCAGTCAGCTGCCTCCTGCACCCCCTCCTGGGGATCGACCTCAAAACTCAGGCATATGCCCTGACAGATAATTGAATTGGCAACTTTGTGGTACATGGGATGACACTCAACCAACTGAGCCACACCATCCAGGGCCCACCTCAGATTCTTTAGGTGCATGATGATTCTTCATTTTTTTCAGTCCCCTTAGCACTTATTTTTCCTTCTCTTAACACCTCGTTGTTTATTGGCATGCATTCAAATATGCCACGGAGCTGGGCTTGTTTCCCTTTCCCTACCTGACCCTCTGGCTCTCCTTCCATTCTGGAGTTCGTCTTTAAGCTGACTAAAGCCAGTTGATATGATGGGCTTAACATGGGAGCCACTGCGGTCTATGCTCTGCTTTAATTTCCCATCACTGTGCCCCTTAACCCAACCGGTAAGCACAAATTCTTGTTGAGACATGTGAGTCTCATTTGCTACTATCCCTATAAGGGGCACCTTAGGCTCGTGACAGCCCCCTTCCCCCAGGCCTGGGAACAGTTTGCANCGGTAAGCACAAATTCTTGTTGAGACATGTGAGTCTCATTTGCTACTATCCCTATAAGGGGCACCTTAGGCTCGTGACAGCCCCCTTCCCCCAGGCCTGGAGCAGGAATCCCCAGAGAAAACCGCAGGCCTCTCTAGACCTCAGCCTGGCAAGGTGAGCCGAGTCAGACACCTGAGGACGTTTGGTCGCGCCCATGCGAGAACGGGGTTGAAATGTGGCTGGCGGAGGAATCGTAAACCACTTTAAGCATGTTGGACTTCATCGTCCAAGTATGAAGCTAACTCTCTAGGGCTGCTTTTGTGGGCTGACAAGTGTTTAAAAGCTGACTGTTTTTCTTGGGTCATCTCCAAGGGCGGGCTTCTCAAAGACCACTCAGAAACCTCCCTAGCGGATCCTGCTCCCTCTGCAGGCCCTGGTCTTCAGCCCTACAGGAGTTTCCTCACAGTTGAGCTCCCTTTCCTGCTCTTTGGCAGCCCCCTTAAGACGGCTCGAGGCTGGCTTTCTCTCGGCATGTTTGGGCTGCAGGAAACACACAGGTGTCCTCTGTCTGCACATACTCGAGTGCAGGCATTTTTCTCATCAGCCTGATCTCCTTGCCCACCGTGGATGTATCCCGCAAGGTCAGTAGACAAGTGCCCAGGCCAGTTGACTTTTCAAAGCTCTTTTCACAAGACTTGAGGTGAGGAATACAATTTATTTGGCAAAAGGCAAGGACACAATCATATTTGCAGAGCAGATTTCAAAAAATGAGAGTGGAGAGTAGGTAGGAGCAGAAGAGGAAGAATGATCCTATGATCCCTAATTTACAGATTAGCAGGTGACATTCTGGAGGTAAAGGAACTGGCACAAGCCAGGATCAAACTTAGATCCCTCTGACTCTCCAACCCACACTCAGTATTGTCAGTGTGCTATAGGTATAGATGATCATTTACATAACATGTAAAAGTGAGCCTCAGAAGGCAGGTCTGGGATAAGAGAAGCAAAACTCCCAACAGCTCGCTCTGGCATAGAGCATGCTTCCCCTCCAGTGGAAAGATGCAATCTCAGTGTAGGGCTTGTAGCTAAAGCGATTAAAGTTGCTGTGTTTCCCCATGGGACTGATGCTTGTGCAGGTGTATATATTACTTTCAGTTTTTCTTACATACCCATTGCATTTAAATGTATTTATTGTGTGCCTACTTCTGAATCAAAAAAGAAAAGCCCTCCCTTTCTTTTAGCCTTTAAGCAAAAGGAAAAATGAGAATGACTTG